GAAGTTGATGCCATACCTGATTCGCTTTTGTAGATAATCCCTGTCGGTTGGTGTTGGTGATGATCGTTTCCTTGTTGGTGATCCGGAGATCTGATCGGTTTTTTGATATTGTTCAGGGGTGGTGTTTAGTTCCAGAGTTCTGGAGTAATCGGTTTGTGATTCAAAAGAATCTATTCAAGGCCTCCAAAAGATATAGATCTTCAAGCCAATCTCTTGAGAGAGATCTTTCAGAGAGAGTTCTGAAACAAATTCGTTTATTTCACTCTGCCTTCTCCAAATGGAGAGGTCACATATTTATACAGTTTTGGAACCCTTATCAGCTAAGAATGGAATCTCATGCTGGGGCCCGACTCTTACACTCGACACTACATAATTGCACAATATAGATTACAGAGATAAGGTTTCTGATCACCTTATCTTTTTTTTGGGTCCGACATATTACATCAACTAGTCACATGGTTTCTTTATTTCACATGTCTTCAGACTTTTCTGATGGTGGTTGGCTGGTCCTTTTTATCTTGTCCTTTATCTCTTTGCAGATAGTGCATTTGTGGTCGTCATACCTCATCAGGAAGCTGCAGAGCTGTTCCTTGATAGATTCCTCTAGTCGTGCGAATTTTCCTTCTAAATGATAGAAGTCTAATTCGAAATCTGCTACGGCTTGCATTTCTTCCTTCGAGATAGTTTCCTTGTTGTAGGTGATCATTAGCACATTACTGCTAGCGTAATTGACTTTGATCTCTGAATCCGCAAGGATCCTTCTTGATGCCTTAAAAACTTCGAGTAATAAAATGAGCTTCTAAATCATCTGGAATCTCATAATCTAATACATCATCTCTTGGAGGCAGTTCTCCCTTTGCTACTCCAAGCTGTATTACTGCTTGTGACTGTATAATCTTATCATTTCCGAAGATCGGGATTGAACTCTTAATCTTCATGAAAATAGTTCTTTCCTTCGCGAATCGTTCAAAGTAATTTCTGATAATTGGTTTCATCTTTCGTGGAAATTCTTCGAATATTCTCATCGAGTCAGTATAGATACTGTCGACTAATCCATGTTGAAGGTAATCGAAGGCTAGTAATGAGTTGGCTTCTCCAATGAAGATAGCCTTTGGTCCGGTTCTGGCCATTTTCGGGTAAAAACCCATGGTAGTGTGTTTTTCCTTGTAGTCCACCAGAGACGCCCAGTAGGACTGATACTTCTCGAGGGTTACCTTTTTCAAGGCCTCTTTTTCCTGTGTGGTTGGTATTTGGGCTATTTTGGGTATTTTCATTGAGGGTAGTTGTGCCCTTGGTTCAACTGGTTGTTTTTGGGCCATGGTTTTGTATGATTCGTTCAAGGCTTTTTGGGCTTCTTCTTTGGTTTGGAAGGCCTGGTGTGAGACTTTCTTTCCGTTGGTATGTTGCGAAAATATCGCATAATCTACGTATATTCCTCTGAATGGTCCACTAAAGATAGCGTACCATTTGTTCGGTTTTTCTTCCACCTTGATGTCGGTAGGAAGTGTTACCTTATCTGATTCTACTTGTTCTTTTTTATCTTCTTCTACTGGTGTCCCACCAGTTGCTTTTATAATGATATTCAGTGATTTAATCAGCTCCTCCCTCTCCTCAAAGAGTTTTGAGAGATTTTCTTGAATCATTTTAATCTGATTGTCTTTCTGACTGATCTGATTCTGAATTGTCTTGATTATTCCTTCCATTCTCTTGTTAG